GGGCCCTCTGGCGTCCCAAGCGAGCTCTTAACCAACGCGCCACTCCTCCGGCCCTTCATCTGTAATCTTAATTCCCCATTGCCACATACTAACACATTCACAAATTCCAGGGATTAGGCTATAAATATCTTTGGAGGGCCATTGTTCTGTGTACTACAACTCAGTAAATGGTAGTTGTTAATCACTTTTTACATAAAAAATTTTTTTAGACTTCCATGACATATCCCAACACCGTTCCCTCTTTTGCTCCCTTATAGCCACATTCTACCCATCAATAAAGGTTTGAAGTTCTACAGGCTCATTCCTACATCCTCTTTTGTTTGTGTTCTGTATTCTCTTCCTAGATAATCTCATTTGTATTGCTCAAATTACTCTGTATTATTAGGAGACTCACAAATTTCTCTCTCCAGGCCAGACCTGTTTCCAGAGCCATGTACCTAACTCCCTCTCCCATTTTCTACCCGTTGTTTCAAAGGCACCTCAGATTCAACCATACCAAGTTCACGATTCTTCCCTCTTGACACTCCTTAAAAACATCCTACAACCTGGTCCTCTTGCAGTGCTCCTACTCTCAGTGTATAACACCACCATCCATCCAGTGACACAAGCCTATCCTGACACCTTCTTGCTCTCCACATTCAGTCCATTACCAAGTCCTATGGGTGTAACATAAATGTCTTTTGAGTGTGTTTCTCTCCAGCTCTACAACGACCATTCTAGTTTAAAGCTACCATCATGTTTTACTGGTTTAAAGTGATAACCTCCTGATTTATCTGTGTCAACCCCCTACAAAACATTCTCAGTTCATTCAGTGTAATACTTTAAACATACATATTGGAATATATAAACGACAGTAAAGACAGATATTGCCTTGGCCCACTTAATCTAGTTGTTAACAGATACTGGACAGAAGATATGAAAGAAAATAGTGGATTTGGGGTCAGCCAAGTGTCTCAGTTGGTTAAGAGCGCGAGCTCTGAGCAACAGGGTTGCTGGTTTGATTCCTGTATGGGCCAGTGAGCTGTGCCCTAGCTGAGCGGCCAACAGGTGGCAGGATGGCTCAGCTGGTGAGAAAACATGCTCCTAACAACAAGGTTGCTGGCTGGACACCCACATGGGATGGTGGGCTATGCCCACCCACACTAAGATTGAACAGGGCACCTTGAGCTGAGCTGCTCTGAGCTGCTGACAGGTGGCTGGATAGCTCAGTGGTTAGAGTGTGTGCTCTTAGCAACAAGGTTTCCGGTTGGATTCCTGCATGGGATGGTGGGCTGCACACCACCACCACCACCATCCTCCCCGCCTCGCCCCAAGATTCAACACGGCACCTTGAGCTGATCTGACGCTAGCTGCTGATGGGCGGCCGATGGTGGCTAGACTTGGAGCTGAGCTAGCTGCGCCCTCCACAACTAAGACTGAAGGACAAAAACTTGGCTATTCCCCTTTCCCAATTCCCCAATAAAATCTTTAAAAAAAAGTAAAAGAGGCCGGCCGAGTGGCGCATTGATTAAGAGCTGGCTTGGGACGCCAGAGGACCCAAGTTCGGATCCCACATATGAGGGTCAGTGACACTGCCCCCTACAGCTAAGATGCTGAACAACAGCTCAACCTGGAGCTGGGCTTGCAGTGGGTTGCCATGGGCTACCGTATGTAGCCAGCAGCCAGCATGAGCGGCCATCCAGAAGCCGCCGACTCATCTGCCTCGCCCGGGAAGAGCGCAATGATGTGCCAAGTTGGGCCAGTGAAGCAACGTCCTCCACAACTAGACTGAAGAACAGCAGGACAGCAGCTTGTCTGTTCCCCTTCCCCCAATTCCCCCAATAAAAATCTTTGAAAAAAGAAAAAGAAAATAGTGGATTTGTCCTTCTGCTGAAAGATACTGAGAGATCTCTTATAATCCAAGGGCAGGGATGCTCCTGGCCCTGGGTTTAATGATGTAGGGAGCTCATTTAAAAGACTCTGAGGCAGTTCTCTCTATTATATTTGTTTTGTCAGTGTGACCCTAGAACTTGAGGCCTACTTATTAAGAATCCTCCCTGGATTTGCTTAGATGGGTACCATGAAGGGTTGCCTTTATTCTCCTTTACCATGTGTCTGTTACTGAACAACCCTTTATCTAAACTACACATTCTGTAGATGTTTTTAAGTCCCCTTTCCCTGTCTGCTGTGGATCATCATGTTTTGTTTTATTCTTTTAAGTCTCTTGTTTTCCTTATTTTTAGGTTTTAGGGATGGGAGATAGTTTATTTTCCTCTATGTATTGTCTATAAATATTTTAAATTATTATATTTAAAAGTCCAAATAGGAGAAATAAATTCTGGCATATTTTTCTCTACCACCCTGTTTTACATACTTTTTCATCAATGAATTGCTGAATCATTTCAGAATACTTTTTATTGTGAGAAAGCTATTGTAATACAGGATGAATGAGGGGAGTTTTTGTGTTTTTTACAAGCATAGCATAAAAGATTGATTAAGCAATAGAATGGGTACAACTGGAGGTTATTTTACATAAATTCTTAATTTTTGTTTTCTATAGGCATGGCGAAAAGGTCAGTCTCAGTTCTAAGTGTGCAGAAATTGACCGAGAGATGATAAGTTCTCTTGGGGTTTCCAAGTCTGTGCTAAATAATGTCATTTTCTGTCATCAAGAAGATTCTAATTGGCCTTTAAGCGAAGGAAAGGCTTTGAAGCAAAAATTTGATGATATTTTTTCAGCAACAAGGTTTGTAACCTTTAATTAGACATTGTAGCCCATTAAGTTATTGAGCCATGGTTGCAATTGGATGCTGCTTTTTTGAGCAGATAAAATGTTAAAAGCAAAAAAGTCATCAGTTATTAACTCTTGCTCAGTAGCAACCAGTGGGCCTATTTCCTTTCACTTTACTTTCTATGCACGTTTACTTATCTGGTTGACAGTGTATATGTAACTTTTTCATTTATTATGTCATAAGCATTTTCTCAGTTGTTAAAAACTTTTAATGACTGCATAATATTCTGTTTTACGAATATACTATTATTTACTTATCCAGAAATTTGATTTTTATTTAATATCTTCAAGGTACATTAAAGCCTTGGAAACACTTCGGCAGGTACGTCAGACACAAGGTCAGAAAGTAAAAGAATGTCAAACAGAATTAAAATATCTGAAGCAAAATAAGGAAAAAGCTTGTGAGATTCGCGATCAGATTACTAGTAAAGAAGCCCAGTTAAGATCTTCAAAGGAAATTGTCAAATCCTATGAAAACGAACTTGATCCATTGAAGGTAATTTGATTTCTTGTATGTTAAGGAGAAAGTTATCTTTTACTATGGTAACACTTGCTTCTAAAGCACATTATTTTAATATGAATTTGAATCGTGTACATATTGCTTCAAAAAATTATCAGAGACTATATAATGTTATGGTTTAATGTCTTAGGTCTGTATTAGATGGTTAGTCTTAAAAGTGCCCAAAGACCTTGTATTTGAGAGATTAGTAATATAGATCCCTAGTTGTTAAATATCAGTATAGTGGCCCAACTGTGCTGTTCTGTATTCTTAAGAATTTTTTTAACTGACAGATCTTTCTAGGGAATTTTTATAATTTGCAGGATGTTGTTGACATTGCACAAATTTTGGAATTGATGCATAACTGTTGATATACAGTCATGCACCATAGAATGATGTTTTGGTCAACAATAGATCATATATATGATGTGGTCCCATAGGATTATAATGTAGCTGAAAAATTCCTATTGACCAATGACTTTGTAAGCCATCCTAATGTAGTGCAGTGCGGTACTCATGGGTTTGTGGAGATACTGGTGTAAATAAACCTACTGTGCTGCCAGTTGTATAAAAGTATAGCACGTACAATTATATACAGCACATAATACTTAACAGTGATAATAAATGACTTTACTATTTTATGTATCTGCTATACTGTACTTGTTATTTTATACTGTATTCTTTTTACTTATAAAAAAATGTTTGCTGTAAAACAGTATGCCCCATTATGCTGACAGCAGCCTCATCTCATGTTTACCATGTCTCTTGATTGCATCATTTTCTTTTGTGATTTAATCTTGAGTTATTTTGTTCATCATGGCCCCTGAGTATACAAAATCCACTGCTAATGTTGACAGTAAGAGGCCCCAATGAAGGATTGACCTGGAAACTAAATTAAAAGTGATTAAGGACTAAAAAGGTGGAAAATCAGTGATGGTTACTGCTTGCCAGTCAGGCATGTTCCATTTTGTTCTTGAAGAACAAAAGCAAAGTGATGGAAAGACGGCCTGTATCAGATATGAAGAAACTTCTAATAACCTGGATTGAAGACCAGACACAGAAGCGTATATCCTTTTCAGCACCATGACAATCACAGCCAAAGCAAAAAGTTTGTTTGCAATGTTGAAAGAAAAGGCTGGACCTTACTACTATGTTGAATTTACTACTAACTGTGGGTGGTTTAAACTATTCAAAAATTGTTATTCATTACATAATGTGAAAGTGAGGGGTGAGTCTGTGAGTGCTGATATGAAAGCATTTGAAGAATTTTTGGAAACTCTAGAGAAGCTGATTTGGAGGATAATTACTTGCTAGAGCAAATATTCAATATGAATGAAACCTTCCTATTCTGGAAACAGATGCCTGAAGGGACTTTCATCCATAAGGAGGCCAAGTCATTGGCACGTTTCAAGGCTTTTAAGGACAGAATAATAGTCTTACTTGGGGGCTGCACATTGAAACCCTTTGTGATCTGGCACAGTGAGAACCCCAGGGCCTTCAAGCATATCAGTAAGCACACACTACCAGTGTACTAGAGGAGCAATAAGAAGTCATGGATGACCCAATTCCTTTTCCAAGATGCTCTCCTGAATTTCTGTGCCTGTGAAATGGAGAAATACTGTTTGGAGAATAACATACCTATCAAGATTTTGCTTATTCTTGATAATGCTCCTGGACATCCTCCTTTTATTGGTGATCTTCATCACAATAGCAAAGTGGTATTTCTACCTCCATTTACCGCTTCTTTGATCCAACCAATGGATCAAGGAATGATAGCAGCTTTTAAAGCCTATTATGTAAGGAGGACCTTTGCCCAGGTTATTGCTACAACTGAAGAATACTCTGAGAAGACACTGATGCAATTCTGGAAGGGTTATAACTTCCATGACTGCATCAAGAACCTTGTTTGAGCTTGCAGTGATGTCACCAGGAGTGTATGAATGGCATCTGGAAGAAGACATTTAAGAAGTTCACCATGATTTCCAAGGACTTGCCAGGATGAGGAGGTTGCAAAAATCCACAAGGCTGTGGTTGAGATGGCAAACAACTTGAACCTGGATGTGGATGAGGACAACAAGGAGAAGCTCCTGGAAGGGGTTCCTGAGGCATTGACTAATGAGGAGTTGTTAGAACTGGACCAGGAATGCATAACTACAGAAGAGGCAAGAGAAAAGGAAACTGCAGTAGAAGAAAAAGAAGAACCAAAAAAAAATTTCATCGTGAAGGCTTTAGCAGAAGCTTTTGCAGACCTCAACAAGCTCCTTAAAATATTTGATAACATGAATTCCAACATCGAAAGGTTTTCATTAATAGGAATGATCATGGTATATTTTCTGCTTACAAGCAAATCTATGATGAGAAAAAGAAACCAAGCAAACCACCTTTTTCTGATCTATTTCTGAAGAGTGACATCTACTTAAGAAGATCCCTAGGCAGATCCTTCAGGAGGTCTTCCAGAAGAAGGCATTGCTGTCATAGGTGATGACAGCTCCATGCATGTGACTGCCCCTGCAGACCTTCCAGTGAGACGAGATGTGGCGATGGAAGACAGTGACATTGATGGTCCTGACCCAATGTAGGCCTAAGCTAATGTGTACATTTGTGTCTTAGGTTTCAGCCAAAAAAAGATTAAAAAGTTAAAAATAGAAAAAAGATTATAGAATAAGGATACAAAGAAAGAATATTGTTGTATAGCTGTACGATGTGTTTGTATTTTAAGCTAAGTGTTATTACAAAAGAATGGGAAATTTAAAGTTTACAAAGTAAAAAAGTTACAGTAAGTTAAGGCTAATATATTATTGAAAGAAAAATATTTTTATAAATTTTTATAAATTTAGTGTAGCCTAAATGTAGTGTTTATGAAGTTTACAGTAGTTCACAGTAACGTCGTCAGCCTTCTCATTCACTCCCCATTCACTCACTCACTCACCCAGAGAAACTTCCAGTCCTGCCAGCTCCATTCATGCTAAGTGCGTATAAGCGGACCTGTGCAGTTCAAACCTGTGTTGTTCAAGTGTCAACTGTACTGCAGCTTTTCTGTGTTACAGTTGCTTACAGTATTCAGTACAGTAACATGCTGTACAGGTTTGTAGCCTAGGAGCAGTAGGGTCTACCATATAGCCAAGATGTGTGGTAGGCTGTGTCATCTAGGTTTGCATAAGTGCACTCTGATGTTTGCACAGTGACACATCGCTTAACAACGCATTCTCAGAACATATCCCTGTCATGAAGCGATGCCTGACTGTATTTGCAGATGTGTATAGCTCTCTAAACTCTTTGGTTTATACAAAATACCTTAAGCAATTCCCATTCATTTCACAAACATTTACTGAGTGTCTGTGTGCACGGGTATACTACTCTTGAGGCCACAGATACTACGAGGACTAGACAGCATCCTTGCCCGTAAGGTATTCCTAGTCCAAATAAGTAAGCACATTCTTCAAAATGGCTGTTTTCTAGGTTTCAGATAGTAGAAGATTTTTTTGGAAAAAACCATTTAAAAATTACTGATTTTTTTTTTTTTTGTAACTCACCTATTAATACTGGTATGGATCTTTGAATTATAAACTACAAAAGCTTTGGTTTTGTTTCTGTCCCAATGCCCACTCACATTAATGCATACCTCAGTAAATATTTATTGTTTTGTGTCTTTCATGTACATTTACCTA